ATGCATGGTTTGATGGATGGAGGGAGGGATGGTTGGATAGATGAAGAGATGGATGAAGGGATGGGTGGTTGGATGGTTGGATAAATGAAGGAATAGATGGTTGGATGAATGGAGGGATGGAGGGATGGATGGATAGGTAAGTAGCTAGAGGGGGGCCTGGGTAACCAAAGATGCCCTCAAACCTATACTGTGGCAGTGTTCCTCTATCCCTCATTGATGTCCACACCACTCTCTGGCCAAATCTGGCCACCGGCCAGTGCCTTGCTACCATGAGATGCAACCTGCAAGAGCATTTCCCAGGGGCCTACAACCCACTGTGGCCTCTTGGAATTCCAGGTCAGCTAGTCCCGGCAGGAGACACTCACTCTCCCACTCAGTCTGCAATGTGGAGTGCGAGACAAGTCACCTGGGGTGGGAGAGCAGTGCTGGAAGGGACTGCAAGGGTTGCTGGGAGGAGGCACAGGGCTGCAGGAGAGGACTGTGAGGCATGCAGGTGAGAGGAGTGGATGGGAGGGTGGAGAAGAAAGAGGGTGTTAAGGAGGCCCAAGTATTCAATTTAGGGTGAGACTGAGGTCCTGGGACCAGGCAGAGAGGGCCAAGGACAGAGTGGAGGGGCGTTTAAGGCTGCATTGGGCGGGGGGGGAATAACACTGGTTCCACGCCTGCATTGTCAGCTCCAGATGAGCAAATAGCTCCCTGCCCTTCCTTCCCTGCCACAGCGCCCTCTCACCTGGGGACACACTGTCCCCGACAGCACAGCCAGGAGCCTAGCTGGCAGCTGGGCCCTCTTCTCTCCCTGTCCCTCCCATCGTCCCTGGCTGTGTCCCTTCTACTTCCCAGGGTCCAGCCTTCTGTCCTTGACACTGTCCCGCCGGCTGCCCAGGGCTGAGCCTGTATCTGGCCTTTTGCCACCTGGTCTCTCCACAGGGCTGCCGCAGGGCCTTATGAACAGCTCTCCCAGCTGTGGCCCTGTCCCCCAGAAGGCTCCATGCTTGCCCAGGAGGCATGGGGAAGCCGAGCTCTGTGGGGCTTAAGACCCTCAGCCCTACCCCCAAGTCCACTCCACAGGCAGCCACACATCAGCTCCAGGGTCCCCTCACCCTTCTATGTTTGGACTCTTAACTGGTCTAAGGTCAGCTCAGCTTAGACTATCACATCACCCCCAAGTGGACGCCCCCGCCCTCTGTGCAGAAGAGCTTGCTCACAGCTCGGGCAATTCATCTCGGCTCTCCAGGGCCTGGGGCCACGCCAATGGGGCAGGGCCGCATGAAGGAACCTGGCTGACGTGGACCTGTGGATGGCAGAGGCCGGGAGCTGTGGGCACCTGGGGCCTGGCCTACCTTCAGCGCTACAGGCGTGTCCTCCAAGCAGTAGACCCTGAGGCTGTACTCCAGGGCCGTGCAGAGGGCAGGGGCGAAGATAGCCAGCTGGAGCCGCTTGACAGCTGAGTGGGAGTAGGACTCGCCGGTGAGCACGTAGGTGCCCAGCTGGTCCAGCAGGATGTGGCAGGACCTGGCCTCCAGCTGGCAGTAGCAGGGGGTATTCAAGGTCTCCTCATCCAGGGTCACCACCTCCTGGGGGGCGGGGAAACAGAAGCGGGCAGAGGTCTCAGTCAAGGCCCTAGAGAAGTCGTGCCCACCCCCCATCCCTCTGGGGGCCTGGTGGTTCTGATAGTTGGGTCCAGTGCCCCTGGGAGAGGTGCCGGCTCCCCAGTTTGGCCCTCACCTCCCAGTGACCCTGGTGGGCCTGGGTCTTGAGCTGGAAGATCCAGTCGCCGGCACTGACTTCGGCACAGTGGGGCACGGTGAGGATGACGGGGCGGCACAGCAGGAGGCCGGTGGGCCCGCAGGTCACTGAGGGGCTCAATACTGTCTGGGTTCCTTCCGAGAGCGGGCTGCGGGAGCGACAGGCAGTCATTGAGGGGGGCTGAAGTTGGCTGGAGGGGCCACTCGGGCTCAGCAGGGTGGATGGGCTCCTACTGGGGTGCCAACTCTGTCCTAGAGTGCCACGTGAGGCCCCTGACCCCTCAGCGGTCAGGAGCACCAAGAGAGGCCGGAACACAGCACAGACCTGGAAGCTTCCAGATTCCGGTCATTGCACAGCAGCGTCCCGCAGCCACTGTGAGGAGGCAGCTTTGACGGGCGCTGCTAAATCACCCTAGCTCTTCACTTCCACCTGGCCCCTGGCCAGGCTATGGGAACATAGACAGACCCTTCTGCATGTGCAGCATCTCCTGGACTTTAAGCCAGGTAGAACTCTTTTCCACACCCTAGTAGGCCACTGGGTGTGCATGAACACCCTGCCGGGGCATCTGTTTTTCCTGATGGATCTGTGGTCTCTCTAGTAAAGCACAGTCCATCTGCCACACGCTGGGCAGGTTTTGCACTCGGCCAGTGTGGACACGTTTCAATCTCAGTCGGTGCCTTTGAGAACCACCTCTGGCTTTACATCATGCTTAGAAGAGGCAAGTGTATACAGGCCCCATGGACAGGCCTGGAGGGGAGGCAGGGGACAGGGGGGTTGTGTCCAGGGAGAGGCCAAGAACGCTGAGTCCAGGAAGGAGAGAAAGGAGAGGGTAGCGTGGCGGGGCGGGGCGGGGTGGGGGCTGGCTACTCACAGGGTGCTCTCTGCCTTGTGGATCAGGAGATACATCTCATAGAACTTGCCCTGAGGGATGGCTCCGCTGGGCACCAGTAGGCTGACCCCTGTGGGGAAGAGGGAGGTCATCAGGGCGGGTGGTTATGGGAGCTTGCCTGGCCCAGAGTGGGCAGGGTGCGAAAGATATCTCCTGACCTCCTGGGCTCACCAGCAGGGGTAGCTGGGAGAGGGCCTGGGTGCGGGTATTCCCAACCGCTCAGGAGCCTCTGACACCCCAACGGGCATCCCCTTGCCAGTGGCCACTGTGCCACCACAGCCCTGTGCAGAGTGGGATGAGCTGCTGCCCAGGTCCCGCCACCCAGGGTCAGCTGTGGATGGGTGACATTCTCTGATGGGTTTCGGAAGCAGACCGCCAGGCCTTTCTTCCTAGCCTGCCTCTGTCGGGAAGTCCCTCATCCAAGCATGAGGGGCACTTGCTACAGCTGAGAGAGGGTCTCCCTCATGGAAAGCGAGAACCCCCCACTAGCCACCACTGCCCTTTCTGGGAGGTAGAGATGGGCACAGCCCTGGGGCCTGCTGGTCCCAGCGCAGGATGCTGGGAAGCTGCCTGTCAGCCCCGTGAAACTGGGCAACCAGAGGTGGACGCTGACCTGGGCTGGCACCCCCCTCTCTGGCTGCCGGCCCGGGCAGTGCTTTGTAGGTTTGCTGGCTTACCTAAATCCCCGTGCAACAGACGCAGACACCCGGCTTAGAGAGCGGCAGGCCTGTGGCCTCCCTCCCTGTCCTAGAGGCAGGCTGAAAGCCAGTCTCCTAAGTAGACCTCTATTTTATAGCTGCTTCTCCCCACAGCCTGGTGGCATAGTGGGCTACGCATGCACCTCCTAACCGCATGGTCAGCCGTTCAAAACCACCAGCCAATCCTCAGAAGAAGGAAGAATGACCGGGAGCCAGAACCGACTCGAGGGCATTGAGTGTGGTTTTCTGGTCTCCCCACACCCAGGCCTCTTTACGCTTCAGTGGTGCTGTGGGTCAAGCTCTGGACCACTAACTGCAAGGTCAGCAGTTCAAGCCCCAAGCAGCTCCCTGGGAGAAAGACGAGCCTGTGCAGTGGTTCCACACTGGGCTGGAACCTTGATCGTCGGCATTCTGAATCCACCAGCAGCTCCCGGGGAGAAAGACTGAGCTGTCTACTCCCGTCAACGGTGGCAGTCTTGGAAACCACAGGGGAGTCACGGTGACGCAGCAGGGGCCCGATGGCAGTGAGCGGTTTGTGCTTACAGAGATTCACGCCTCAGCAAGTCCACGGACGGAGCAGCTCGACTA